TTCATAACACAGTGGTGGGTGCCACAGAAAAATGGAAAGAGACGTGCATAGTACAGTGGAAAATCCACCCAAAGTGGATGCCTGTTCTGATGCCAACTTGCTATGCATTCTTAGACAGACTACTTAGCTTCCCTGGGCCTCAGTTTTTTTATCCATGAGTAGTGATGTATTATTTATGCAAATTGTAAAACAATAAAAAAGAAAAATCAAGTCTCAGAATAGGTAACCTTTAAGTTTTCTTTGCTGTTAAGGTCATTATGAGACTTAGTTCTTGCCTCTGTGTGACTTTACCTACTATGAGGCAAACAAAACAAAGAAATGTAGGAAAAAATAAAAGAGTCAGTACCAAGTTGTGGCTCAGTGACTTGGAGCCTCTAGGGGTACAGAGAAGAGAGGACAGGGTGAAGGGCTGTGGACCAAAACTGACAGGATAGTTTTTACAAAGGGTGCTGTGAGAAGTGGGCATGAGCAGGGTGTGCCAGTGCGACTCTGTGTGTGTGTGTGTGTGTGTGTGTCTGCGTGTGATTGTCTAGTGGGGAGGACTGCTTAAGATTAAAAGACGCTCAGGAAACATATCTACCAAATGCAATGTGTGAACCTTGTTTAAATCTTGATTTGAACAAACCAACTGTAAAATAGACATCTCTGGAACAATTGGGGGAATTTGAATATGGATTGCGTATTCGATGGCCATAAGGAAGTTTTGCTCATGTTGTTAGGTGTGTTAATTTGTGAACATGGGTGTGAACAACTAAATATGCCTGTTATGTAAGAAAATGTCCTTATTTTTCAGAGATACATGCTGAAATCATTTAGCAACATTATGATGCCTGAGATTTTTTTTTCCACAAAAATAAAAATAGATGAAACAAATGTGGCAGAATGGTAATCATTGTTAAAGCTAAGAGATGGGTGTTTGGGTGTTTCTTGTATGGTTTGTATGAGTCAGGATCTAACCAGGAGACAAAGACCACTGGAGTCGTGAAAACAGAAGGACTTTGAGGCAGAGTACTGGTTACACAGTGGGTGGGAGACTGAGCAGCCAAACACACAACCCTGAGATTAGTATCAGATGTGACAACCCTGAGCTGGGGGCAAGGCCAGGAAAGTGCTGTCGATGGAGAGCAGGGGGCTGTAGCACAGGGGCAAAGCAGAAAGCACAGCAGGCCTTTTGGGAGAGGTGCTAGAGCCACGGCGGAACCACAGCTGCAGCAGGGACACTACCCGAGGTAGAAAGAGAGGGAAAACCTTGGCGTGTCCCATCCTCCCACCTCCCTGTCTCTTGCTAGTGCTCCCTGTTGGCCAAGCCCCATCTCCAACCAAAATGGAGTCATCAGGGGCGGCTCCATGCAACACGGAGCGGAAGAGGGGAGGGGTGAGTGGCACAGATGTGAAGCCTGACAGGTCCAGGACCTGCGCACTGTTCTCTCTGTGCATTTTTGTTTGTTTGTCTGATCTCTACCCGGAAGCATAGTTTGCACATTAGCATCTCATCCCATCAGGCTTGCGGTGGAGGCTTCTTGCCACCTTCCAGAGAGCTCTGGACAGCAGGGCCCTCGGGGCAGAAGAGCCATTATTTCCATTTTACAGCAGCTGCTGGAAGCTCAGTTAACACCTTTCTGGCAAAGAAACCAAGAATGTTTCTGTGTCAGCTTCGCCTGCTGACAAGGACCCAGAAAGAATCCACTGCTGTCACTGCAGAACCTTCAGCTTTGAGGAACCATGGAGATTTGGCCTAATTCTCCACAGTGGTCCCAGTGGTGACCTAACCCAAATCCATTTCCTTGTCTTCCTGCCACCAGAACCTTGATTTTGTTCAGGCTGATAATGTGCGCAGCTAAACAAATTTGCTTCCCCAGTGCTCTTGGAGTTACTGATGATCATGTGATCAAGTTCTGACCAATGAGATGTAGATGGAAGACCTTGGGATGGGTGAGCCTTCCAGAATAAAAAGGCAAGCCTCAGGCCGGACGCAGTGGCTCACACCTGTAATCCCAACACTTTGGGAGGCCGAGGCGGGCAAATCACGAGGTCAAGAGTTCGAAAGCATCCTGGCTCACACGGTGAAACCCTGTCTCTACTAAAAATACAAACAATTAGCTGGGCATTGTGGTGGGTGCCTATAGTCCCAGCTACTCGGGAGGCTGAGGCAGGAGAATCGCTTGAACCCGGGACGCAGAGGTTGCAGTGAGCCGAGATCACGCCACTGTACTCCAGCCTGGGCGACAGTGCGAGACTCCTTCTCAAAAATAAAATTAAATAAATAAATAAATAAATGAAATAGAAAGGCAAGTCTCTTTCCTCTCCCACGTCTTCCTGTGTGAAACATGGGTGCGATGCCTGGTGATGCAGCAGCAGCCTTGTGACCATGAGGGCTAATGTTAGATGCTGGGAGAAGAAGGCTGGGATGATGATGACGTTTTTGAGCAGCTTCACCAGTCCTGCAGTGCCTAACCCTGGACCTCTTGTAAGGTAATTAAAATAAATCTCTTACTTATGTAACCCACTGTTTCTTGGGTTTTGTATTATTTGCAGGTGAACACATACCTGACTTAAACCAAAAAATATGTTTTTTACTCAACAAAAGAAAATAAAGGAAGCTGGTTTTTCAAGGAAGTAACACAAGAGAAGTAAAGTTGGTTACCAAGGAAGAGACTAGCAGCATTACCTCTATGGCACAGTGCTAGCCACTCAGCCAAGGAAATATATGCTGACAAATGGGTGAACAGACATGAACAAGTGAGTGGCCATCTGAGCAGTGAATCTGAAAAGCATGAAGACTCCTAGTGGTGAGGCCACCTCTTCCATTTCCCCACAGGAAGCCAGCAACAAATATTGCCAGAATTCAGCCGGGCGCTGGGGCTCACGCCTGTAATCCCAGCACTTTGGGAGGCCGAGGTGGGTGGATCACCTGAGGTCAGGAGTTCAAGACCAGCCCTGGCAACCCTGGCGCAACAACCCCGTCTCTACTAAAAAAACACAAAAAGTAAGCTGGCATACAGGAATAGGTGAGCAACTGTATATCACAGCTACTTGGGAGGCTGAGGCAAGGAGATTGCTATTCAACCTGAGGAGGTGGAGATGCAGCTGAGCAGAGATCGCACCACTGCACTCCGACCCTGGGTGACAGACGTGAAGACTCTGCCTTAAAAATTTAAAAAAGTGTATATATATATATATATATATACACACTCCCAAAGTATATATACACATACACACACACACACACACACACAGCCAGAATTCCTGGCATTGTCACAATTACCAGGGGTTAAGGAATTATTTCCTGAATGTCATGGTAAAAATGCAAGTAGATTACATGGAAGGAAAATACATAAGTTTGTTCATCACCCAACAGGACTCTAAGGGGATAGGTGTAGTGGACACAACCTAAAATGGCCCCCAATGAGCCACACCCTGTATAACCCCCACCATCTCTTCTTGAGTATGGGAGGAAACTGGGACTTGCTTCTCATCGACAGAATATGGCCTGGCCAATGTGATGGACTGTCACTCCTTTTATTAAGTTACATTATATGGCAAAGGGGGTTTTATACACACACACACACACACACACACACATACACAAACACACACGGATCTGAATGGGCTGAAGGGAGAGAGAAACTTGTATGTGCTGACTTTGTGGATGTAAGCTGCCATGTTGTGAGAATGCCACATAACAAGGAACTATGGACAACCTTTAGAAGCTGAGAGGGGCTCCTGCTGACAGCCAGCAAGAAAATAGGGACTTCAGTCCTACAACAATATGGTGATAAATTCTGCCAACAACCTGAATGAGTCTGTGAGACTTGGGAGACTTTGAGGCTAGTCAACAGCGTGTGCCCAGGCTCTGAGACCAGCCCCAGTCCAGCCTCCAGATGAGAATGCAGCCTAGCTGATCCTTTGATTGCTGCCTTATGAGTCCCTGAGCAGAGGACCCAGCGAGGCTGTGCCCAGGAACTGTGAGATAATAAAGGTGTGCTGGAATAAGCCACTAGGTTCGTGGGAACCTCATACACAGCAATGGAATAGAGAATAAAGATGCTTTGGTGCAAGAAGGCTTTGAAAAGTCAGCCTGGGACCTGGACAGGGGAGGGGAGATCTGGGCAGAACATTCATTTGTTCATTCATTGATTTGTCAGCTGCTTAAAAAGGGCCCCTAATACGTGTCAGGCACTAGGTCACCAAATGAGGCTTTTGTCTCACACTCCTATTTCAGTTTTAGCCAGAGCCGCAACTTTCCCTTCCAGATGTGGCTGAAGGGATAGGAAGGGGAATTCAAATTTTACTGAGTTCCCACAGGACCTGGGCATGGAACCAGATGCTTTCCATATGTTGACTCTATCAGTCATCACAATGACCCATAAGGCATCGATTAATATAACCATTTTACAGATTTAAAACACTGAGGTCACATAGTGGTAGAGCTGAGATTCTGAGAAATTAAGTCAGCTCCTCCCATTCTAAGCTGGGTTTTTGGCTTAGGGAAAAACCAGGTCATCTGAGCTCATGTGGCCTACTTTATTTTCTTATGTTTGCACAATGATGAAAACGTGTCCTACTTTATCAAGCCACCTTCCTCCTCCTCCTTTCCTCCCCTTCTTCTTTATCAGAAGCACATTCTTTTTTTTTTTTTTGAGACGGAGTCTGGAGTGCAGTAGCACAATCTTGGCTCACTGCAACCTCCGCCTCCCAGGTTCAAGCGATTCTCCTGCCTCAGCCTCCCGAGTAGCTGGGATTACAGCCATGCGCCACCATGCCCAGCTAATTTTTGTATTTTTAGTAGAGATGGGGTTTCACCATGTTGGCCAGGATGGTCTCAATCTCCTGACCTCGTGGTCCACCCACTTCAGCCTCCCAAAGTGCTGGGATGACAGGCATGAGACACCACACCCAGCCCAGAAGCACATTCTTAAGAGTTAAAATATTATGCATTAAAAAATACCATCTGGTAGTAACTTATGGAAGCTTCTAAACGGAATAAATGTCTAGAGTACCTTCGTCACTTCCTTTGTCAGCACGTTCTTCCTCTTCCATGGAGACATTATTAGACCACGCTTTCAAATGCTTTCTAAATTTGAATCTGGTGTCAACACTCCTTTCAGCTGCATTCCACTGCATTGCTGTGAGGGTTTAGTGAAAGAACACAGATAAAGTATCTGCCTTTTAAAAAATACAAAGTTCTGTATTTTTCTCTTTTCACTTACCATGTGCACTGGTCAGAGTCCTGGCAGGAACGGCATTCATACTGACGCTTCAGATGAAGGGCTATTTAGTAAAGGATGATTTACAGAGATGCAGACAAGTTTAAGGAAACCAACAAAGGATGTTGAGGCACCCAGCAGTTGGCAATAGCAGGAAGCTGTTACCACCCTTAGGATCAAGGGGATAATGGCAAAAAATGGTGGTCACAGAGTCCAAGGGGAGGCTGCCCAGTGGAAGCTGAAGTCCTGGAGGCCCCGAGACAGGCAGAGAGTGGAGGAGACAGATCCCAGCCTCTCCTCCCAGCCTTCCATCTTCTGCTGGTGTCTCCCGTTGGCTGAATCTAGCTTGGAGCCAGAGGGGAAGGGAGTCGGGGTGATGCAGAGCATGGGGCCAACCTCCTGGGGTGCGGGGCAGGGCAGAGCAAGATTCTGGAAGAATGAATGGAGAAAAACATCCACATTATATGTGAGCAGTATCCCATGTCATTAAATATCCCTGGACGCCAGGGTTTTTAACTGCTAAATAACATGTCATCATACGGTGGGACTACAGGTTATTATCAGTAGTAGTATGAAGGGACATTTGGCATGGCCCCTGTTCAATGAGTGTGATGGGCAGCTTTGCCCATAATTATTTGTCAACATCTGCCATTTTATATGACTCAGTGGATGGGGCCTCTCCACAGGCCACAGGCTTGGAGAGTTCAGGTGAGAAACCCCAGAGGCCCAGCCCCGCTCCCAGCTGTCCCAAGACGTCCCTAGAAACCATGATGTGCCATCAACTCCTACTTTCTTTGCCCAGTTACTAGTCAGGAGTAGTACCCAAAAGAATTGTTCTAGAGGAAAATGCAGGGCTGGGCCCAGGGCTGAGAACTGAGGGCTAAAAGTCCTGTGGTGACAAAGGTGCCACTCCCTAGCAGGCTAGTAAAGCGACGAGGTGTTCCTAGCTCTCTGGGCTTCCACCGGCCCTTCCCCCGGGGGCTCCTGCTAAGCCGGCCACGCCCTGGGCCACGGTGAGCTTGCTCCCCCTGCTGGCCAGACAGGGCATCTGCGGGAACCAGTGCCCAGCGGGCTTCTGCGGGTCACAGGAATTGGCCACTCTGAGGATAGTCAATAGTATGCACCCACACTCTGGGACCAGCCCCCTGAGAAGTTCCCACAGGGCTTTGAGCATGCAAGGGATGACATCCCTGGGATAAAGGGCTGTTTTGGTTAGAGCAGGAGCTCTGACACTATTGGAAATTTAAACCGGCATACATATCAACAACCTTAAATATGTTCAATTCAGCCTCACCTCCTCCAGGAAGCCTTCTGCAATCACACTCCCCAACCACCCAGTGCAATCTTTATGCCCTTTTCCCCTGCTCCCATGGCATTTTTGCTTGTGTCTGACTCAGGTGAATAAGAAAAGTAACTTTATTTTGCATTAATTTTTACATTTTTATTTTGATCTCCAATTCCAGCAAAAAGTGGTAGTAACTTAACTGTAGTCATTTCAGGGTTCTCTCCTGCCCTTTGCCTGGGATTATGTCCTAGAGCAAGGTGGGTGAACAAAGGAACTCTTATGTAGTGCCAAGACATAGGAGCCACCAATCCTCTTTGTCATCTGTCTTCACAAGCACCATCTCACTCACTGCTGAGATGTTCCTGCGCAGCAGCCAGTAGCCAAGGAGTTCCCATGAGAGGCCCCACATTCCTGATGGTAGGACCCCTTCACTTGTTACGTTGCTGAAACCGCCTTTGCAATATTATGACTGAGGAAATGATGACAGTGAAAGAAATCAGACCTAACTGACTCCACCTTGCTTCTAACGTTTCAGCTGTCCTTGTTCATTCCCGGGCACAGGCCGAACTAACTTTGGGAGGGAATTCAGTTCATGGTTTGACTGTGAAACAAAATTGATAATAACCGTTTCCTGAAAAGACCCGCTTCTTGCCTGGGAACCAGCGTGGCTTTGCAGGACTAACAAATTAGCTCGAAGATGAGAAACTACATTTTGGGGGTCATGCAGCCTCCGGCTCCAAGAGTCTGAACCTCCCCAAATTGCTCCCGGGGAAAACATCACTAGTGTAAAACCTAAGACCAGTGATTGGGATATTTTGCAGACCCTGCATTCAGTGGATCAGCTGAGAAACTAGACCCGTAACCTGACTCAACCAGTTCTGCCATCCCATCCAAGAACAGAAGACAGCAAGAAAAACTCACTTCGATCCTCTCTGATTCCATCTCCAACCTGACCGGTCAGCACTCTCCACTTCCCAAGCCTCCCTATCCGCCAAATTATCTTTAAAAACTCTGATGTTGGTAATAATAGAGACTGATTTGAGTAATAATAAAACTCCCAGTCTCCTGCCCAGCTGGCTCTGCATGAATTACTCTTTCTCCATTGCATTTCCCCAGTCTTGATAAATCGGCTCTGTCTAGGCAGCCAGCAAGGAGAATCCCTTGGGCAGTTACATTGGGATTGACAGGAACCCCTCTATGGCCTTGTCACTTCACTGGGACACTGGACTTTCTGAAAGAACAGGTAAGGAGAGCTCTATTCAGCTCTCCCCGCCCCACCCCCAACCTGGCTCCCCCGACCCCCTAGGGAAATGAAGGCCAAGCTCCTCTGCTCTCAATCCCCTCAACTCACCCACGGTCTTGCTACTTTCCAGGGCCTCAGTTAGGAGGCAGTACCTAGAACCCACTTTTCACCTTTTTCCCTTCATTCAGCCTGAGGAACCTTAGTCTGGGCGGGCTCAACTTCCTCTCTTATGCTCCTGTTGTTTTCTTCTAGATCTTTCGTCCAAGCCCAAGTAACTTTCTGTTCCCCTATGGCTCCAGGAAGGCTTAGAAAACAAAAGCCAGGAAGCAACTGCTTTTTTTCTGCTCTCTGCTCTCATACCTCTTCCCTGGGGCAAAGGACACAGCAGCTTAAATAGGGGTTAAAAAAAAAGGAATAAAGGGAAAAGGAGGTTGAAGGGAAGGGGGAGGAATCACCTGCTGTTTCAGAACTACGAGGTCATCACACGCTCCTGCGCTCCTGCCTCTACCTCTGTCCTTGGCTCTCCTGTCCCTGGGATCAGTCAGGCCTGTGGCGAGTCAGAGAAGGGAAGGCTGTGAGCCTTGCAGGGACAGTGTCCTCCCTGTGCTCCCTGTATCCAGCACAGGCCTGGCCTGAGGGAATTGCAAATGCAAGCATGTAAAGATCTCAAAACAGTCAGAAAAAGCAAGGTTACCTATTCATGAAAGAGGCCGAGAGAGCTGCAGAGAAAAACAAAGCCACGTGGATCTCCTAGGACAGAAGTCTGCAGGAAAAACTGCCTTCAGTGAAGTGAGCACTTGCCTAGGAACCAGGAGACCTACAAAATCATGTTTCCATTTTACCATAGGCCAGGTCTTGTCATTGAATCTAGGAGGCAGAAGGAAAGAGAAAAGATCACGGTCTTCGCAGTTGATGCTGCCCTTTGGAACATGGCCCGATGGTGGGTGCCACTGTGGGTAAGTTCTTAACTCTTACCCTTTCCGTAAGTCTCATTTCTTCTCATCTGCAAAGCAGAGAATCTCCCCATTGCAGTGTTGTGAGGATGAAAGCAGAACAGATACGAGAAGGCCTAACATAGTACTTGCCTGGCGTATGGAGATGGAGCATTCTCTCCATGTGGACAAGCTCGAGTTGACCATTGCTTTAAATGTCCCAGAAAGCTAAGGACAACACCACGGGAACTCTCAGGCTCCCAACAAGAGTAAACCAAAAGAAACAATGATACTGGCCTCACCTTGGAAGTCACTGGCCTGCAGATTCCCACGGCACCCAGCTTCCTGCTTGTCCCCTCCCACGATCCGTGCCCCACGTACACCCACCTCTTGTTCACACTCCTGTTTCCTGTTTCTTCTTTCTTTTTTCCTTTCAATTGCATTTATTTTATGCTGAATTTATTCCAGAGCCATACGTTTTTCTTTCTTCAGTTTCTTCTGCGATAACTTTTTCTTCCGGGCAACCTCCTCTTCTGGTTTAGGAACAATTTGTTCCATTTCAGTATGGATGATCTCGATGTGGCAGGGAGAGCTCATGTGTGGGTCAATCAACCATGAGCTTTGTAAGTCTGGAGGGGCATTTTAGGTGCTTTATTCACCTGGATGTGCTCAATGACCAAAGAATCTACATCTAAACCCTTAAGTTCAGCATTGCTCTCTGCATTTTTAAGCGAGTGCAGCAAAAACTCAGCACTCTTTTTGGACCACTGACTTTGTGTCCAGCCTCACTTCTTGGCCTCAGCACTACCAACTCCCCCATTGTAACGTCAGAATGGCACTGATATGGTCTGGCACCGTGTCACCATCCAAATCTCATCTTGAATTGTAATCTGAATTGTAATCCCCGCGTGTTGGGGCAGTGACCTCGTGGTGAGACGCCAGGTGGGAGGGGGTCCCTGGAAAAACTCCAACTGGCTTGCACCCTGGGGTGGAGCCTTGGGAGGTTCATTCCGTGTGCAGTGGGGAGGAGCCTGGCCCCTCCTCTTACTGTGTGGAACCTGGGATTCCAGCTGCTGGTGGGAAGCACTAACCCTGTCTTCCTCACCATTCGAACTGTCTGCGAGCCTGAATTTGTAGCTGTGGGACAAAGAGCCCTGTCTTGAACTGAACTAAGGAAAAGTCCTGCAACAGTGGGAGGTGACTGGGTCATGGGGGCGGTTCCCCCATGCTGTTCTTGTGATCGTGAGGGAATTCTCACGAGATCTGATGGTTTTATAAGGGGCTCTTCCCCCTTCGCTTGGCACTTCTCCTTCCTGCCATCTTGTGAATAGGTCCTTGCTTCCCCTTCACCTTCTGCCATGAACGTAAGTTTCCTGAGGCCTCCCCAGCCGTGCCGAACTGTGTGAATCAATTAAACCTCTTGCCTTTATAAATCACCGAGTCTGGGGCAGTTCTTTATGGCAGTGTGAAAACAAACGAATACAGGTACACACTGTCTCTGTAAAGTAACATCGTTCAGATACTTCTTGGCTTTTTGTATATGCATACCCTTGAGGACCTGGGCAGTTTCACAAGTGTCCTTTTTTTTTTTGTTTTGAGACACAGTCTCACTCTGTCGCCCAGGCTGGAGTGCAGTGGCACCATGTTGGCTCACTGCAACCTCCATCTCCTGGGTTCAAGCAATTCTCCTGCCTCAGGTGCCCACCACCACGCCTGGCTAGTTTTTATATTTTTAGTAGAGACGGGGTTTCACCATGTTGGCCAGGCTGGTATCGAACTCCTGACCTCAGATGATCCACCCACCTCGGCCTCCCAAAGTGCTGGGATTACAGGCATGAGCCACCACACCCGGCCTCACGAGTGTTCTTAAAGTGAACGCAAAGATGGAAACATCTTGATTTGCAAGATTTAGTAGGGTTTTCTGGGTCAAATGAATAGCGAACCATTTTCACAGATCATCTCAAGCCAC